GCTTCTCTTATGTTAACTTCGGGACACTATTGTACAAGTAGTCCACTATATAGCCAAAATTTTTACTGCATGAGAATATTAAATCTGAATGTAGAAAATCCCCATTCTGTTCACTGAGTAGGGCTGGGCAAATCTTTTTCTCATCTTAACCTACCTTCTATAGGGGTTGCTGATAAAGGATAACTCTACTGCGAGCTTCTTGGGGGAAAAGGAACACTGCAGCCAGGATCTATATGTTACCACACCTGTACAAACATGTGAATATATATTCAGATTAACATGAAGAATTGGCCTGCATATTTAGGCAGTGAGCGCAGAACCGGAATCTTTTACCTAAAGATGTATCTGTGAGAGTAGTGAGTTTTCAGTAAGAAAAGGATGGCAGAAGAGACCTGATTTAAAGATTTAAAAAGGAATATGGAGTTTATTGAGGGATTTGGAACAATAGTGGTTGGGGAGCCATCCTAAGCAAATACCAGTAAATATTAAATCAAAGCACAAATAAAAAGCACATTCATTACTCAAATTAACAACATAACAACAACCAAAAATTTATCAGAGCTACTTCAATTTAGAGCAGGAGTTACTTTTAAGCTAAAGGTGTAAATGTGGGGGAAGTCTTCCAGATGAAAGGCCTAAATAGCACAGAGAAACAGGGCGGTGCAGTTTGGGTTAGAAAATAACAGGTGATAGATCAAGATGAGGAGCAAAGATATACCTGTCCTAGTCTGCATAGAAATTAGATGAAAGGACTACACCACTACACCAAACTGGAGTATCTAAGCCCTCTGGGAGAACCTGGCCACTAACCTGTGAGTCAGCTTCTCTGCTGCCTACTGTCTGATATCGGTTTCTCAGTTTTAATATCAAACATGGCTTCCCTTCCACAATCTCAGACAGCATATGGCCCGAGAAGTCACAAAGGAGACTCTAAAACATTGCTCTTGACTCAGGGCTGCTTTCAGGGTTACAAGCCATGTAGTTGGGAACTTGGTGCCTTGAAACATTCTGTGAAATTATGAACTTGGTATTGCTATTTCCAAATAGAGAATACATCAGCTGGTGAGTAATTACAAGTTCTGCCTACTAGACAGGAACAGCCATTTTTAAGAAGTAACCAAAAAGTAATATTTTTATATACTTCCCCCCATTTGTAGACTTCACACAAGCTTTATTAGCCCATAATGTCCACAAGGAAAAAAAGTTTAACCTTCCACTGACTGCTGCAAATTAGCATAAATAGCATATAACATAAATTGGCTTGCTCACAATAATGATAGGTTTACCCAGCTATTAGTGAGGAAAGTTGTGCCCAGAACGTAGGCAGCTACGACTTCAATTCAGTTGGATTGATCCAGGAGATAATAAATGCCTCTCTGTGGAAGAGTGTAGTTCCACCCTTCTTGAAAGAAGCAGTTGCTCAGCCCTTCCTGAAGGACCCCAGTGACCTGAACAACTACTGTCCAGCGGCCAACTCTCTATTTCTGGGCAAGATTCTTTAGCAGATGGTGGTCATGCAGCCCCCGGCAATCTTGGAGGAGACTGATCATCCAGACTTGTTTCAATCTGGATTCAGGCCTGGGTGTGGGACAGAAATGGCCCTAGTCACCCCGACAGATGATATTTATTAGGAGAGTGACAGGGGAGTGTGTCCCTGTTGATTCTCCCTGCAATGTTCTGTGACAGATAGACCTCTACTACAATTTTCCATTGTGAATCTTGATAGGTTTCCTCTGCTTGTGATCCAGAATACATTTTGCTATTCAGCAAAATCCTTGAAGCAGAGAGATGCTAGCTGAAATGTGAAAAGGTCTAGATCAGGGATCTCCAACCTTTGCCAGCAATAATGATAGGTTTACCCAGCTATTAGTGAGGAAAGTTGTGCCCAGAACGTAGGCAGCTACGACTTCAATTCAGTTGGATTGATCCAGGAGATAATAAATGCCTCTCTGTGGAAGAGTGTAGTTCCACCCTTCTTGAAAGAAGCAGTTGCTCAGCCCTTCCTGAAGGACCCCAGTGACCTGAACAACTACTGTCCAGCGGCCAACTCTCTATTTCTGGGCAAGATTCTTTAGCAGATGGTGGTCATGCAGCCCCCGGCAATCTTGGAGGAGACTGATCATCCAGACTTGTTTCAATCTGGATTCAGGCCTGGGTGTGGGACAGAAATGGCCCTAGTCTGCTTGTGATCCAGAATGCATTTTGCTATTCAGCAAAATCCTTGAAGCAGAGAGATGCTAGCTGCATGTGAAAAGGTCTAGATCAGGGATCTCCAACCTTTGCCAGCCTGCGGGCACCTTTGGGATTCTGACAGTATGATGGGCACAGCTGTAAAATGGCTGCTGCAGAAGGCGGAGCCTACCACAAAAGAGCTGCTGTAGCTTAACTTCAGTCACACTATGAAGATCCTTGTGATGTGGTGGCAGCTGCTCCCATAGCGGTGTTTTAAAAAACTGCACAGTCAATCAAATCTCCAAAGGCCAATCAGGAACCTGGCTAGGCAACAGCCCACCCACTTTCTAAAAGCATTTGGTTGGTGGGTGCCCAGGTGCCCACTGGCACCATATTGGGGATCCCTGGTGTAGATACATGCCCAGGACTACATCTCTGGCTGGAACTATCCAAGTCAAAATGGAAAGTTTTATCTTTGTCCCTACAAAAGGGAAACCAAAAGACTGAGATGTTCTTTTTTCTTTCTACCATGCCTTTTCCATCCCCAAGCCATGACTATAAAACCCTTTTGTTGCAAAAAAAATATTAAGTAATATGTAGAAAAGATATACAGACTGGACCTTTTTATTTCTTCTGTCAGAAAATATGCTTAGGTTGAGTACATCTCCTTTGAGTGGGGAAAGACTTTTAACAAGCACAGGTAACTGGACACAGGTTAAACTTAGGTGTCCTTCTAACAGTGAAGGCTCCTCCGCTAGGGCATTGACTGTGACAATTTGATAACATTAACCATGATTATTCTTCTGAGGAGGGGGGGAATAGTGTGCACCAGCAGTTCTGCTCTTATTTGACTGGCTGGTTCCAGAAAGTGGTGCTAGGGAACTGCTGCTCGGCATCATGGAATTCATGCTGTGGGGTCCCACTGGGTTCCATCTTTTCCCCCATGCTGTTTAACACCTAACTGAAACTGCTGGGAGAGACGGGATCTGGAGTAAGGTACCAGTAGTATGTAGATGACACCCAGCTCTACTAACAGCTGAGTCTGTGGAAGTTCTGAACAAATACCTGGAGATGGTGATAGGATGGATGAGGGCTAATATATTGAAGCTTAGTCCAGGCAAGACTGAGCTGCTGTAGGTCAATGAAAAAACTGAGGACTGGGAAGTCAGCCTGTCCTGGGGAAGGTTGCACTCCCCCGAAGGAACACATTCGTAGCTTGGGAGTACTGCTGGATCCTGGCCTACAGCTGGATGCCCAGATCTCTTCTGCAGCACACAGGGCCTTTTATTGGCTTTATCTGCTATACCAACTATAGCTTTTCCTCATGAAGTGTAATCTGTGACATGGCCACAGTGATCCATGCTCTGATTACATCCATGTTAGATTACTGTGACACGCATTACATGGGCTGCCTTTGAAAAGGGTGTGGAAACTTCAGCTCATCGAAAATGCAGCAGCCAGACTATTATCAAGGGAAGGATCCATTTGGCTGCCCATTTGTTTCCAGGCATCATTCAAAGTGCTGGTTGTTACCTTTAAAGCCCTAAATGAGTTGGGGCCAGGGTACCTGATGGACTGCCTCATCTCATATTGTCCAGCTGATAGTCAAGGTTTGCCTCACAAGCCCTGCTGTCTGTGCCCTTACCTTTAAAGGTGAGATTGGTGGAACCAGAGGCCAGGCTTTTTCAGCAGCAGAACCTTGTTTGTTGAATGCCTTTCTCCTTGAGGCTCACCTGGTGCCTACATTGATTTCTTTTAGGTGTCGGGCCACAAAATTTCTGTCCACTCGAGTCCAAAGAGATTGATTTTTTAAAAACACTATTTTAGTCTTAAAGCTTATTTTAAGCTGTCAGTGATTTGTTTTTGTGGCCTATATTTTTATGCTGGGCTGAGTTTTTAATCAGCCATCTTCAAGTTTCCCCAATATTACTTATTTACTTCATAACAATTGTTAATTAAATATTTTGGGCTTTTATTTACTTCATGTTTAACCCACCTTTCTCACTCAGACTTGAGGTAAATTGCAAAGTGGAAAACAGCAATGCAATCAGAAAAGAGCAAGAATCCAGCAGCACCTTAAAGACTAACAAAATTCATGGCAGGGTATAAGCTTTCATGTGAGCAGTGACTCACGAAAGCTCATACTCTGCCACAAATGTTGGTCTTTAAGGTGCTACTGGACTCTTGCTCTTTTCTGCTGCTACAGACAGACTATCATGGCTACCCATCTTGAGCACTTCAATCAGACATCAAAGATCTCTAGTAAACAATATAGTAGGACTAGGATTATAGCACTGGAAAACACCTCAAACAAAAGCTAAGGTAACAAAAACTATCCGAGGCGTAATATAACAAAGTCAGCACATTAAGGTTTCATCCAACTTGCTTACCTGTTGTGTAAATTTACTATTTTCAGAGATTTTCTTCATAGACAAGCATTTAAACACGGGGCCTACCATCTGTACGTACCAGAAGGCAACCCATTCTAGTGCCACCCCATTCTCCCGCATGCATAGAGCAGGCCTTAGCTGGCTGTTGTTCACAGTCAAATCGTCTGCTCACAACTTTAATGCCAGTAGCTCACAAAGTAGCATTTTTGCTCACAAGGCTCTGCAGCTTAGAGGGAACATTGCTTACCTGTTGTGTATATTTACTATTTTCAGAGATTTTCTTAATAGACAAGCATTTAAACACGGGGTCTACCATCTGTATATACCAGAAGGCAACCCATTCTAGTGCCACCCCATTCTCCCGCATGCATAGAGCAGGCCTTAGCTGGCTGTTGTTCACGATAACGTCCTATTAGCTTGGATGCGGAAAAGGCAGCGAAAATAGACTTGAAAACACAAACGGGCATTTAGGCCACCGCATGCCTGACAAAGGCGCCCGAAACGAAAATACTCCTCAGGACCTCTCCGCACTGCCTGCCAAGGGGTAACAGGGCACCAGCCTCCTGCCACCCAGCGTCTCTTACCTGGCGCGGGGTCGCGAGCAGCTGCCTCTGGGAGAAGCAGGCGAGCTGCTCGTAAGGCAAGGGCAGTTGCTGCCGCTGGTACAGGACGTGCTTCAGGAACTCGCAAGTGAAATGGAAACAGCCCTCGCGAGTTACCAAGCCAGGAAAAGCCACGGACACCGAGACGGCGCCGCCGGCCGTGGGAGTCAAAGCCGGGGGCGCCAACGCCACCGTCATAGCAATGGAGTCAGATCCCGGGGCTGCCTCGGCCACGCAGGACAGATCGGCTGGAAGAGGAGCGGAGAGAGCAGCTGAGTCGTCCGTCGGACCCGAGAGGAGAGCCCCTGGGACCAGGGCGCCCGGGCAGGGCGAGGGGAGCTGCGAGAGGACGCATCCAGGGTCCCACTCGTTCCCCTCTCAGCAAGGATCTTCGTGCTTCGGTCTCTGAGCGGCCATTTTCTGCTTTTCAAACTCGCTCCGATTTGAATGGCCGCTCTCCCTGAGCATCATGGGAATGTTTACTACGTCAGTACCGGAAACGACACTCGCTTGTAGCCGTGGTTGCCTAAGGCTGAAGTAAATATTTTTTCTTTCCATCCGCCTAGTGTGGACAGTGGATTAAGTTTTAACTTTGACCCAAAATAGTGGTCTCGGGCTCTTTTTTTTAATTTTAGTATACTCAAAATAATAGTCTCAAGAAGTTTTGTGTATCGTATTTGAATTCTGCCTTAACAGAGCTCTCAGGCAATGTTCCCTCTAAGCTGTGGAGTTTTGTGAGCAAAAATTCTACTTTGTGAGCTACTGGCATTAAATTTTTGAGCAAGCGATTCGGCTGCTCCATCAATTAGTTTGCTCTGGAGCCATCCCTTCCTGAGCTAAGACAAAAAAGTGTGAGCTGGAGGCTAAAAAACTGTGAGCTAGCTCACAGTACCTCAGCTTAGAGGGAACACTGCTCTCAGGGTGTCTGTTGTGGGGAGGGGAAGGGAAAGGAGTTTGTGTAGCCGGAATTCTGAGAGACAGACCACCAGAGAATCAGCAAGGAGAGTCAACAGCTGTTTATTATGGCACCGGGTACTTGTACCGAGAGGCACTTTTGAACAGGGCTGCACACCAAATGAAGGTGGAGTCAGGTTTATATAGTTACAGAGTGCAAAAAAAAAAAAATTCCTTGTCATTTTTTAGCAGAAAGATTATTAGAAGACCTTGGCAGTGTATTTTGAGCATTCTGTACTTTTCAAGACCACAACATCCTTGGCTGACCGCACATCTTGCTTGTGGGAAGGCCGAAGCTTTCCTGTTTATCAACAGGTGTTAAACCTCTGATTACAGAAATAAAGCAAGGTTAACATCTCCCTTAGTAACGGGCCCTAGCAATGCCTAATATGGTCATGCCTGATTGCAAGCGTCTATGTCTTTGTATCTTTCTACTTGCTAAAGCAATGCGTTACCTGTGTTTCTTAATGGCCTTATAATGCTGCAAAATTGCTGTTAATGCTTTAGTTTGTAAGCCTCTCTGAGACACCTTTGGGTAGTGAAGGGTGGGATATAAATCCAATCTCCTCTTCTTCTTCCTCTTCTTCTTTTATTATTGTTTAAGGGGAGACTGAAGTCGGTTCCAAGTTCGCAGTTTCTAGTTCTATATTAGCCAATATAATAACAAATGTTGAGTTCTGGACCACCCCAAATAATATCTTCTCAAACTTAGGGAACTCTGCCGTTCAAGGTGACCTTCGCTGGTTCTGGAACCAAGACCTTCTGTTTGGGCTGATCTCAGGAAGATTCTATTAATATTCTAGAATGGTTCACTGACATGCCTTCACACCCAACCACCCCAAATCATATACCCCAGACATTGAAAAAGCACTATTGATAATAAAAACAACCTGCATTTCAAAGTTCAAGAATGAATTCAAGAGCATCTTCAGCCTCTTCACATAATCAGAAAGGGTTGGTTTATCTTTGTCTAGCAGAGGTAGAGTATTTCCCTCAAGAACAACAGCCTCTCCAGTCAACAACACTTCTGCCTTGTCTGGATTCACCCTGGACTTGTTCACCCTTACCTTCTTGAGCCTAGCCTCCAGGCACTGGAATGTGACAAAACAGCCACATCTGGATTTTGATAAAGATATATAGCTTTGTGTCATCAGCATATTGATACTATTCAACTGCAATGTTCAGGATGATGATCTCTTCCATAGGTCTTGTATAACCAGACAAAACACCAAGCCTTGAAGACCATCACAGCTCTCTTCCCTGGTGCTGAATCAACGTTTCCAAAGGAACTCTCTGTCATCTATCAAATTAAAAAGCTAAGAACCAACAGAGGACCATACTGGTCACCCCAAAGCCTTGTTCTGAGCAGTGCAACAAAATGACATTGTCCATTGTATCAAATGCAGTAGACTAATCTAACAAAATGGAATGGCTAGAGAATTTGTTGAAGGAGAGACCTAGCTTTAAGTTCGTCCTCAGCCACAGAATCACTTTATGGCCTTTGGTATGCCAATATTTATTCATTTATTAATTAAAATAGTGACAACCCACCTTTTCTTATGGCAGCTTACAAATCGTAATTAAAAGCAATACAATTTATAATGAACAAAATAAACCCCCAAATCTGCACACACACCCCTCCGAAACCTGCAATTTATATCCCATTAATAGTCCGGGCAAATAAAATCCCCCAGATAGGGCTATACATCCTATTTGTTTTATTTCTTATTTGGAATAGATTAGAATAGTAGATTGTAATTGTTAAATTGCTCGCTTAACAAAGTAGTCGGAGAGTGATTCAGCAAAGATTCAGCTTTATTCAACAACTCGAACACAACTCCAACACAGATCAACATCTGATAGCCAGAACAGCTTTTGCATTGAAGCTGTTCTGCTGTTAAACTCTCCCGGCTAATGTAGCCATGCCCTACTATACATTACCAACCAATAAGATTGTATACATAATGACCAATCACAGACGTTCCCGCTCAGGGAGCTTGCTGGCACTTGATTGGTTGGTTCTTCCTGGGCTACTAATGCGATTGGAGGGATTAGGATCCTAGCCCAGGACGAAGCTTAACATGGTGATTCAATAGGGTGATTCACATACAGTTGTCATTGCATTGAATACACCACAGTAATGTAATGTAATGAATAGTAGAATGTAATGTAATTTGGAATGGTAGATTGGAATCCATTTCTCTGGTCTGAGGACAGAAGATATACAATGCACAGCCAATTGCCCCACCCCAAAGAAGAGGATGCTGTAAGGTTGCTTCTATGCTTGAGAGGAGACAGAGCGTAATAGCAAGGTCTCAGTTAATTACTCATAGCATTCCACAAATAAGAAGAGTACATCTGCCCATCAGTCTCCGATTCGGATATATTTATTTTCTTCACTATGATTAAACCCAAACAAATGGTGACCATATAAATTAAGCTTGTTATTTCATTTTGGTGCTTGCATTTGTCAAACAACTTTATTATGCTGTATGCTAATTTGCTGATCACCCTCTACCTATATGTATGGACTGGCAACTTCCATTTCAATGTATTTGAAGATGTGTGCATGCACACAAAAGCTTATACCTTGAATAAAAGGTTGTTGGTCTTAAAGGTTGCCACTGGACTCAAACTTTGTTCCAGTGAATCTTAAGAACACTTTCCTTGAAGTAAACCCCACTGTACAGACTTGAAGGATTTTGGTGTGGACCTGTTTAACATTGTTCTGCAACAGTACCATCCTGAACAGAGTTACACCTTTTTAAGCCCATTCACTTATATGGAATTAGAAGATTATAACTCTGCTCAGGATTGCACTGTGAGGAGCAGAACCCAGCATGCACAGATAGGGGCAAGCACATTGCACCCTCCTCCTCCAGACATAGGATCCCTAGAGATAGGGCAGCCTGGGGGAGTTATCATTAGAAGGTGGCAGATTATCAGTTATTTAGCTTATTGAAAACCATTATTTAGCTTTAGGAAACCAAGGTGACATAATGACTAGCATCAGACCAGGGAGACCTGGTTCAAATCCACTCTGTGCCATAAACTTGACTGGGTGGTCTTGGGCCAGCAACAGTCTCTCAGCCTAAATTATACCACAGGGTTGCTGTAAGAAGCAAAGGATGTATATAGATATTACCTTGAGCTTCTTGAAGGAGGGGCGGAATAAAAATTAAATAATTATTTATACTGCCACAGAGGCACTAACAGGATTTTTTGCCTAACTACAAAATGTTCAGCAACTGCAATAAAAAAGGGCAAATACTATACTGGGGATTATTAGGAAGGGGACTGAAAACAAATCAGCCAGTATCATAATGCCCCTGTATAAATCTATGGTGTAGCCTCATTTGGAATACTGTGTAAAGTTCTGGTCAGCACACCTCAAAAAAGATAGCATTGGGAAAGGGCAATTAAAATTATGGTGATGGAACACCTTCCCTATGAAAAATGTTAAAGAGGTTAAGGCTCTTTAGCTTGGAGGATCAACAACTGAGGGGAGACACAATAGAGGTTTACAAAATTATGCATGAGTAGAGAAGAGAAAAAAGTACTTTTCTCCCCGTCTCACAATACATGGGCACTCAATGAAATTAATGACCAGTAGATTTAGAAAAGATAAAAGGAAATACTTCTTCACCGAAAGAGTAATTAACACATGGAATTCTCTGCCACAGGAAGTGGTGGCAGCTACAAGCATGGACAGTACCTGGGTTTTGGCTACTGTGTGACACTGTGTCAGATTGGATGGGCCACTAATAGTCACTGAGCTGCACAGAGAAAGTCTTGTACTGAGGCTCTGCACTGATTGCTGTTTAGTAAATTCATTGCATCAGACTAGATGCAATGGATTTTCTAATCAGAGCAGTCTTTTCCAACTGATGCAATCTGCAGTAAGCCAGCACAGTGGGCAAGGTCCAGAAATGTTGCTATCTGCTGTAAGCCAGCACAGTGGGCAAGGTCCAGAACAAATACCGAAGAGGTGGCTATGTTTGAAAACAAAGCCGCCCACTAGCGGTGAGGGTGAGTGGAACTCAATCTGTGTGTTCTTATGGCATGATGGGATCTGTAGTTCAGCAGCTTTAATTATTAGGCCGCTCTTTATATTTCCATTATTTTGCATTTATATGGCTGTGGCAGCATATACAAACGTACTGCATATCTGAAAGTGTTGCATCAAAATATCAAACTTCACTGTATGCTAGTTCACTGAGTGTATCAGTTATCATTATTAAATTCAGGGGGAGGGAGAGGGGGAGTGATAGTTATCCCAGCAATAACAGCAAAATCTGTGTAGATCAAGATGGGGAGCCGTGTTAGTCTGTCTGTGGCAGCAGAAAGCAGCAAGAGTCCTAAAGTCACTGTTGAGAATCGAAGGACTGCAAATTCCTTTCACTTTGAACTGAAGATTAATGAAAAGACTTATTTTATAAATAAAAAAGGTAAAGGTTCCTGTAGTGTATCCAGCCCTGACAGGGCCGGGCATGTCCAGACTTGTCCAGGGACAAAACCTCAAGCTTCGCGCCGAAAGACAATGGGTCAGTAGGATCCTAGCCCGGCCCAATCAGAGGGCTAGGTCCCAGACCGTGAGGCCAATAGGCCTCTCGGTTACTGTAAATAGCCTATCGGGAAGTGGGGTGTGTGTTATGGTGGTGGGTTCTGTGGGAATATAAGCCGGACTGCGAGCTGGCCAAGGTGTCTTGTTCCTGACTGAATAAAGTATGCTTAGCTGAATCACTCTCCGTCTGCATACTTTTCACTGGCGACGAAGGTGGGATCTGCACTCCCATGAACAACGACCCGGACGCCAATTCGAGCACCGCATCGAGCCCCGACGCCAAGACCGCCGCAAGCCGCTCCGCTCCGCACCCTGGTTCTCCGGCCGCGGCTCATTGCTCCACTCCTGGCTCCGTAACTCGCCCTGCTGACCCCGAGAGCAGCAGCACTTTCCGCGACGCTCCAGCTGCCGCCGCCGTTCCTAAGATACTCCAACCACATGGCCGCCGCACAATGGCGACCAACCAGGGCAACATCGCCGCCTTCAATATCTCCTGCCCCACGGAATGGGAGACCTGGCTCGAGATCCTCAAAAACTACTTTGACTGCAACGACATTGCGGACGAGAGGAAGAAGAAAGCTCATCTCCTGCAATTGTGCGGCATGGACACCGTCCTATTGCTCAAGGACCTCATCGCCCCTAAGAAGACAAAGGATGAGCCTTACTCGGTGCTAGTGAAGGCGTTGACCGACCACCTTTCGCCTAAGCCCACGAAATTTGCCGAGCGCATGGACTTTTGCCTGAGGGTTCAAGGGCCGAACGAGCCAGCCTCCGAGTACTTGGCTGGCCTCAGGCGAGCGGCCACCAATTGCTCCTTCCCGCACCTCATGGGCGAGCAACCTCGAGCATATCAGGTGGTGACAGATAATGGCCAAGTGTATATAAGAAATAGACAGAGGCTCAAAGCTCAGAAAGAGGGGGATAGTAGAGAAAATATCAAAAAAGGAGAAGAGAGGGGAATAGAGAAAAATAGTGAGGTACCAGAATATCATAGGCAACCAATATATGTTACAGCACATGGTAGATCAGTGTTTCGACCTGAAATATATGGATTTTAAAAATTTAATTATTGTTTTAAATATGTTAATATCAATGTAATCATCATTGTTATTTTAACTATGAAAGGGAGATGTGGTGTATATCTCTTTAAGATGAAGTTGTATCGTGCTATACACCTGAAAAGGATTGAGAGAGCCACTCCTCTCCCTCTCCGTTTTTTAAGCCTTCTTCCCTGCAGGTCGGGGCTTGTGTTATTATTGAGGATACTACTAAATAAACAAGGTCACGGACCTGAGCTGTGCTGTACTGGTGTGTATTGGTTGTCGGTCTCCTTGTGGCTAGAAGAGTTACACCGCTCTCTACTGAAAGACATTTCAGCCACCGCATATGAGAAAGCCCATCAAGACCGCCGCACCAAGGCAGTCCACCGCACCCAAATGACTGTCGGCTCTGACACCTCAGACGAGGAAGAGGTTCTACAGGCCCTCCAGCGACACTCATCCTCCAAACCGGGCAAGGCTTCAACCACGTCAGTTCCGTGTGCCAGCTGTGAGGAAGGCCATGAGTGAAAATCGTGCCATTTCCGAAATGCGATCTGCCTCACCTGCAACAAATCGGGGCACATTGCCAGGGTCTGCCGCTCCAAGGGACCACGCCAGAAGTCAACAGCACACCAGACCTCGCCGGACCCGCCCGCCGACCTCCACTCCGTATCGGCCCACTTTCCGCAGCAACCGGTCTGTAACTTGCCCCCTGATGGCCCCAAGAAGATACATGTCACAGTTCTTATAGAGGGGTCCCCCTGCAGCATGGAGATTGACACGGGGTCAACCTACTCCATCATCTCTGCGGATATGCTCCACACGCTATGTCCCTGGGGGGCCCTCCCCTGCGGAAGTCCCAGGGTTTTCGGTTACGGGACTTCAATAAGAACCCTGTGGCGGTGCGGGGTTGGGGCAAGTTCTGGGTGCAGTTCCAAGACTTTAATGGCACCTTAGACCTGCTGGTGGTGGACAGGCCTCTCTCCAGCCTGTTAGGACTCTCTTGGTTCGAGGCCCTGGAACTCTTGGTTAAGGGAATCCATCAGGTCAGGTTGCGGGACTTTGGCACAGTGTGTGCGGAATTTCCCCGTGTCTTTGATGGCACACTGGGGTGGTTCACAGCCCCCCCATATCTCTGGACCTCGACCCAGTGGTGTGGCCCATTCGCATAAAGGCCCAGCTGCTGCCTATAGCAATGAAGCTGAAGATCGAGGCCGAACTCGACCGTCTGGTGGAACAAGGAGTCCTAGAACCAGTTGCGTCGGCCCGGTGGGAGACCCCCATAATTTCCTCAGTAAAGCCAAATGGGGAAGTACGCATTTGTGCGGACTAAGCTGAAGAGCCAGCGCTCTCTGAAGACGTTTCCGTGGTCATGTGACTGGCATGACTAAACACCAAGGCGCACGGAACGCTGTTACCTTCCCACCGAAGTGGTACCTATTTATCTACTTGCAATTTCTTGCTTTCGAACTGCTAGGTTGGCAGGAGCTGCAACTAGAGACGGAAGCACACTCCGTCTTGCGGCACCCGGGTCTCGAACTCCTGACCTTCCACAGCCTGCAGTTCAGCGTCTTAACCACTTGAGCCACCGCAGCTCTTTCATAAATACCTCTGTTTTAATTTTGGTGGTGCAGTTTTAACACTTCGGTTGTGTAATGAGGGAGCTGCGGTGTTTGGTGTTTAGTCACGCCGGCCACATGACCACGGAAACGTCTTCAGACAGCGCTGGCTCTTCGGCTTTGAAACGGAGATGAGCACCGCAACCCTAAAGTTGGACTCGACTGGATTTAGAGCAAGGGAACCTTTACCTTTACCTACGGGGTAATGAGAGGGATCAAAGAAAAAAGTTGTTTTAAACCCTTATTGGATAATTTCGTATCCTCCTTTCAAAAATTCACTATTTGGCGTCTGAAAGAGGAAGTTAATGAACGCAAGCTTTGAAAGCGATGCTAAAATACATGTTTCGGAAATAAATAATGAAAACAACACCTCTGGTAGATCTTCAGGGAGAAAACTCAGGTGCAATCCTAAAAGCGTCTGTGAGACTGACAGCATCTGCGTCCCCAGGAAAGGTCCTTGGTTACATTAGGAAGTCCAGATATTATACTTCATACCCCTCTCAATACCCGTGGCGCTTAACGCTTCGCGTCGAAATTGGTGCGAGTCATCTTTGGGATGGCATCAATGGTCTTGCCTCGGTGAAGAGGCTGCTGGGAGTTGTAGTCCATAGCGTTGCCGTCGGGTCTGTTTCCCGTGGTGCCCTGCGGTTGTTTTCTGACGCTAGGAGCCAGGGTAGAGGATCGCCGTCAGAACGAAGTCGCATCCGCGCTGCTGGGGGAGGGCGGGCCGGCCGGCTGGCCAGGGTGGCAGCAGGCCGGCCGATCCAGGATGGATTCGCGGGTGTCAGAACTGTTTGGGGGCTGCTGCCGGCCCGTGGGGGGCGGGAACGGTGGGGGCCTGCGAGGCCGCGGCGGCAGTGGCTCTGGTGGCGGGTCTTCCAAGGGGAGGAAGAAGAACGGACGACACCGGGGAGGGAAGGCCAACAATCCGCCGTACCTGCCGCCGGAGGTGAGTAGAGCACGTCAAGGGGTCGTGGTGGAATAATGCGTCCTTGGGCTACGAGGGGTGTGTGTGTGTGTGTTTGCAGAGTGCTGGTGGGCTGAACGGGGGGCGAGAGGCGTCTCTCTCCCGCTCCGGATCCTTGTCTCCCTTGGTCTTTGTGGGCTACAGTCGGTTCCGGAGTGCCGTGCCCTGGCTTGGGATAGGGTGCAGGACCCTTGTAAGAAATGTTTGTATGCCTACAGGTGCTAC